CAATGGAGGGTGCAAACAGTGTCAACAAAAACAGGAACCCTGATGTTTTGTGGCTATTGTGAGGCCTGAGCTCATGTCAATAAGGGACTGTTTAGTCAGAGTGCCACACCGAAACTGCAGTGAGAATGTTATCAGACCTGTGGAAATAGGGTGTGTGCATAATAATGCTAAAATGTAAGTATGATTGTTTGGACAAGTCCAACACCAATGCACACAGGGAACAGCCTTGTAACCTTGTCACCTTTCTACACACTTTTTTATTTCTTAGCATAGATACACAGTACTTAAAAAGAAACAAAAGCCTTTTTGCATCTGTCACTGTTTTCATCCCATTCTGTAGTTACTTCTCAATTATTTGTTCACCCTGAATATTTTTAGCAAGGTCAAAAGACCACTCATTTATCCTTGTCAGCACTGAACTGATCCTCCATTCCCTAAACTAATAGTATGCATTTTTATACTTTTTATTTTCCTTTTCTGATCACTGTTATTCCAGCCCTAATTGGTGTGATAACCTGGAACTGTGCTAATAAACAATAGGTGAAAAGGGTCAGTCTTCACTGGCGGGTGCTCGGACACAAACAGTCAAGTCGCTCATGTCAGATGACCAATTATGCAGGTTATAGAGGATGGCACCTCTGTCTCCAGTGCCCCGTCCCTCCTGGGATAGCACTCCAACGAGCAAGCTATCACTCAAACCCAAACCACATTCATTCATTAGCCTGTTAAGATGGGCATCAATTATTCATTAAGAAGGTGGCCAGTGGATTATTTCTGTCAGCACTAGACTGATTGTATCAAAGGTTGATTATGGCTTGGCTGATTTAGTCTGGACTATCGCCTGTGTTATCAATCAATATCAAATATAATGAAATTTTAAACAACAAAGTTCATTTAAATTTTTGCTAAAAACATATTATTTTGATTCATCTGTTTTTGAAGTTTGTCAAAATCATCATAAAAAATCATCAACATGATTACATATTTTTAATAATGCTTGTTATACTGAAGAAGACAGCAGCATTGAGAAGGGATTGATCTAATTTCTCATATTTCTAATTACACAGCATCATTCAGCCAAAGTAAACTTTATGACATGACACGGCGTCTTCTTAACATTTGAGTAAAACATATTCACCACCTTTGCTTTATTCTTCCAGCCCCCCCTCTAACAGTCTTGTGTTCACCTCTTTTTCTTTTGTCCATGAGATCGTCCCCAGAAATTCATGCTCACAACACTCTGTAAACTCTTTTTATTAGAATGTTTAAAAAGTCCTGTGGGGAGCTTTAGAGAAACTCTGGGACAGGGGAAATAGTAAAATAGTCATGCTAAACTGCACGACTGACAAAGCCTTGGCCGAGATCACTATATGGATTAATCCAATTCAGTTTTATCCTATGGGCAAATTCCACCATAAACCTTTTGCGTGTTAGATACATCATGTATAATATCTTACAAAAAAGTGCTTCCCAATAAGCTAAGTAGTAAATTCTTGTATCTTTTAACTTCTTGTAAATTTTTATAGTACTGATATCACAAAAAAAATCACTGAATAAAGTTTGTTCATCACTGTTAGGGAGTATAAAAGTATTCCCATTATTATGTTGTCTATTAATAATACAGGTGATTGGCTTCATTTGTGTGATTGCCTGTTTATTTGTTTACAGTTGCCTCACTGGCACATTTGTCATAGAACACAAATCGTCATTAAAATAAAACATATTATTGTTTTCTTGTTCCCTAGCGCAGAAATGCCTGCACATTAACCTACTTCTTTCTTTCTTTTGTTCCATGGGATACCATTTGAAAGCATAACAGTGCAAAGTACCATTGAAGCAAACAAATTGAGAGTGAGGCAATGTTTTAGCAAATACAGATGGAGTGTTTGGGAGATTAGTATCCTGTTACAACACAAAGCAGTGCACTTCAGTTTTATGTTTGCAGGGTTTTTCAATGACAAATTTGACCTCTGACTTGAGAAAGATAAGGCATATAAATATACACAATATAAACAATTTTTTCTTTATCAATAACATTTTAGGACAGGTTTTGATTTGTGTTACTTTGCTTGGAACATTTTCATTGTGAGTGTGTGTGTCTATGGAATATTCAGTAAAATGTATATGTGCACGTGTCGCAGTTTATTCTAATTAGTGTTTATAAGTAGAAGTTTTATTTGGATTGTGTTTCATCATATGAAAACTCTGGTGGCCGTGCACATATTTCCTGTTATTTTTTTGCAGTGTGATGTTCTTCACAGACGTACAGCGTGCGCACAAAGCTGCACATACACACACAGAAGTAAAAACTGGTCAAAACACTAGATCACTCATCTTGGTATATTTTGTCTCAGCCCCTTCATCAATTCTTGCAAGTGTTAAAACAATATCCAGGTGACATGCTGTCACACACTGTTGTCATCATAGGTAAGACAAATTCATAAAAAAAAAAAAAAAAAAAAAAAAAAAAAAAAAAAAGATGGGTGTGTCGCTGCTTTCAAAGTCATAATGAAGGATAAACATTGGGACTAGGTGACAGAGCACAGACCTTGGACCTGGCCCGCAGCTTTGAGCCACAGCAGACACATGATGCAATGACAGCTCTTTGAGAAGGTGTGGGAATTGATTCTTGCTCAGTGTACGGAAACTGTCTTATAACAGCTTTTCTTGAGAAAACATTAACAGTTTTTCATTTGGATCAAAGTGGCCATCTGGTTAAATTCATATACAGTAGGCTATACCTTATTCATGCACCTCCTTTACTACTCTCAGTGGATTCACTTAATTTTCTGTCTTCCTTTTCCCCTTAGGTTTGTGCAGCACTTGCAGAGTGAGGCTCTCTCAAGAATGTGTCTAATTTAGTGGCTAAGAGGCAGATTTATACCTGTGCTAGTTATGAAGAAGGTTGCTCCCTGAGAAGCCCAATGACTGTTTACGGGCGGCCCGACAGTGCCTTAGCAGATGATGAAGCACCTGCCAGAGTTCCTCCACGTCTGGTCCATCCCTTTCGGTCTGTCTGCCTGCCTCCCTTCCTCTCACTTTCTTTTCTTCTTTCACTCTTCCTTCCTCCAGTCTTTCTTAGCCTTCTCTCCTTCCTCGCTCCTTTCTGTCTCCCGCCCTGTTCTCACTTTGTTGCTTTTGTTTCTTTTCTCAGCAGAGCCACATCTCCTTCAGTTACCATGGGGTTGTGCATTTTACAACCATTCCCACTGCTTTCCCCAGAGTGAACCCATCTACTTACTCTGTCTAAGAGTTTTCGTCTCCATGTCCCTCTACCATACCTCCCCTTTCACACACACGTACTCAATAGACAAATCAAAAGCAACACACATACACACACACATGCCGGTGAACAGAACTGTGGTCAGGTTTTGTTTATGACAGGGAAAGGCAATATCGAGATTGTTTCAGAGTAGTGTCATCACATGAAATGTATCGCTGTCAGGAGTATGTTTATACTGTATGTCTGGGCCCTTTGCTGAAGCCATTTTGGGAAACAGAAAATATCATATCATATCATATGACCTTCCTTGTTATAAAAGTAAACTATCAGCTGTAAATCTGATACAGAACTACAGCAGAGTCTGTGAAGAGAAAAGGAATGGAGTTCTCTATATGGCATAAAGTTCACCAGAGAAATAAAACCAGCTGTTTCTTGCAGTACATTCTAATGAAGATGTTGCAAATTAAACTTTTTTGAAAAATATTTATTGATAGGTTGATGTATATAAAATGTATTTTACATATCTTTTTTTAATATACTTGCACTGTTGTAGTTTCTCTTTCAAAATTGCTGGCAGATTGTGAAAACACAGCAGTAGTTTTTGCATCTAGACTCATGTTGAATAGCTTTGTAAGTTGGGAGAATATGACTGCATTTTATTTTTTCCTATTGTAATTTCAGCAGTTCTTTTATTTTATACAAAAGCAGACTTCCTTGTACCTTATTTATATATACATACATACATACATACATACATACACATATATATATATATATATATAGTGTTTTCACTAGGAAACACTTGGTTGCCTCAAAATGTATATTTCCTGCAATAAATCACTATTTAATGTTTTATAGATCACAAAACACATTATTTATGTTTCTCCTTAAGTCATTTAAGAATTAAATCATCAAGCGCTGACCAATTCTTGGTCACAGTACTGTGGCTCCAGTTCTTCTTTCTCTTAAATATCCAGGCTGCATTATACTCAATGGGCCGTAACTCGTTAATGTATGTGGTATGATTTTGCACCTGTAATTAAGTGTCAGTTTATAAACACACAAACACTAATAATACCCAGAGCTTTTCTTGGCAGGCCCAGTGGTGGCAATAGCTCATCCATCAATGTCCCTAATGAGACTCCATATAGACAAGTCAGTCGAGGCTTACTGGTCCATTCAGTCTTATTTTTCATGCTCACTATGATAACCGCCCAAATCCCTAGTAAGATGATATCAGCCAAGATGCATAAGATGTGTGTCTGTTTGTGTGCAAGCCTGTATACTTACAGAATCTTTAAGTGTGTGTATTAAAGGTCCTGTTTAAAGTTCCCATTGATGTTAATGGCATTTTAGTGTTGATAACATTAATCATTAAGTGTGAGGTGGTTAATATGGCTACTGTTTTCAATTTCATCATTAATAACATGATACAGAGACACTAACATGAGGAGCTAATGAGATGTCATAGGTCATTTAAACCAATCAGAAGCCACCGCAGGACCAAACAAAGGCCTTGGTTGTGCTACAGTGTGCACTGGGACAACACAACATGTAAGGGAGAACATAGCTACAACAGCAGTAAAATATTTAGGACAAGCTGAGACCAGAACAGAGAGGCCTTTCGCCTCTCTTTGTAGACATCTTGTTTACAGTCTCAGCAAACCTAACATTTCCCACTGAAGTTCTTTTGCAGGTTATGAGTGATAATCTTCTTCCAGTTTGTTTGAATCGTAGATCTCTTCTCCCTCTCTCTTTCTTTCTCTGTCTTTCTTAGGTCGCAGTAGCAAACAGCATACGCTGGCAGACATGTTGAGCTGACAGAGAGAGATCTACAGTTTCAGGAGCTAAGGCCCTCGTGCTGTTGGACAAATTTCATGCTCTTGATCCTCAAGTGCACCGCAGCAGAGACAAGGTTTGGACAGGGCCTGGGATCCTGCAGGGATGGGAGGTGAGTTCCAAACACAACATTTACAGTATCACTGGGAGCGCTGATGACATTTTGAGAGACTTATGATAGTAGAGGTCAGTGGTCCTGATGGCTAGGGTGCTGATAAACAGTATGTCTCTGTCTGGGCCTAACCTCGATCTGGCACTTGGAAGCAATATACAAGCGAAGGAAAGTCTATAAGCTTTGCAAAAAAAGAAATTCTGTCACCAATGACTTTCATGAACATCAGTCTGAAAAGCAAGCTGCTAAGTGCTGATTAGTTTGCATGTTTGGAGCCAATGTTATTTTCCTTAGCTATGAATGCATTTATTTTGTACATTTTTGTCTATAAAATATTAAAGAATAGTGAAAAATGCCCATGCACAGAGTGGCATCCAAAAATATGAAGTTTTACAATCATATAAATCATATTTTAGGAGCTAAAACCAGCAAATTGGCATTTTTGCTTGATATAAGGTTTAAATGATGAATTGTTTCTCAAAAATGTTGTTTGATCAGTCAAGCAATAGATACAGCTTTAGTGCTAAATATGATGGGGTCTCTTACTTTATACTGTTAAGCAAACACAGTGGGTGAGGTGTGAAGTCGTACAACAAGTCTTGATGCTGAATGCAATAGCGTAGCCCTCCCCCAAGACCCCAAATATTTTATATATGTTTGGAGACTCGCTGATGTTTTTTGTGATTGGTGTCACTAATGTGACAATACGGAGACCACTATTGGAATGCTCTTTCGGCTCCTTGAGAATTTTTCGTTATTTCTGTGCATGTCAATATCAAAGCAACAGCAGTCACTGTGTCAGCAGGTAATGACAGAGGAAGTGACGTCTGACAGTTATGGCTTGCCAGTGCGATTGGTTCCATAAGAGCAAAAGGAGGTGGCCACGTCTCAGCACTAATGGAGGAGGGGAAAATGGCCGTGGTACTCTTGTCAGCGTATTGTGTTTTAAATCTAGACAGTTGTTGTTGCTCTTGTAGGCCCGTAATTTTATGCCATTAAAAGTGCCAAGGGGGAAAGAGAGAAAGAGTGGTGGTGGTGGAGGGGGGGCGGGCTCAGAAGTGAAGCAGTAGTAGGGCTTTTCTACCTCTTGTTCCCTTCATGCCTGATTCCCTGACACTTTTATGCTGGAAACTTTTGGCATTTCTTGAAAGCATAAAGACTAGTTGGGGCTTTAAAGTCAATCATGTTGGCTTGAATTACCCAGCAATCTCTGTCAGTTAGTCCCTTCTCAGCTGCTACTCCACGAGATGTGTGTGTGGGGGGTGGGATGGAAACATGTGTGTGTGTTTGTGCATACATGTATGATTCTCTGTGTACATTAATGTGCATACTGTAAGCATAGGAGAACTCACGCCTAAGTGCCTTATTGTATGTCCAGTAGAGTTGCTGACATATATATTCACTTACTATCATTTTTAGAGGAAACTAAATGTTTAGAATACTTTAGCAGAGATTTAACACAAATCCTGTGGCCAAATTATAAAACCCTGTAGGAATGAGCAACTGACACTTCTTTATGAATTGCCGCTAATCGAAAAATGTTGGCAAGAATTACTGTCACTTGTACTGATTTGTATGCATGACAACCTTTTTCATCTCAAATAATACTAGTCCCCATAAGGTCTTTACATTATGGGCAAACATTTGCAATTATGATGAACTCCACCAGTTTATCTCAAAAGGAACAGGTTCTTTCTGATGGACAAGTAGACATTTTAATGAAATAAACTGCTTTGAGCTGATCAAATAAAGATTGCTCCACCTCAGGGCACACTCAAATTAAATTATCAAGATGACTGCATGCATGCCGCTCCCATTAATTCAGGTATGGTAACTGCCTAATCACACTGCAATTGTTCTATATAGTATTTGTGACACAACTACTGTAAACTGTTGGTGATGTCCTGCGTCTCAATTCTCTCTCATGAAGGCTAAAAGCCTCATAGATTTTCTTTTACTCCATTCAGAGGGATGGACTAATGCTAAAACCATGTGCTGTCCCTAGAGGCTAAGCAAGTAGACACTGCGTTGCATGAGGTTTTATGCATGCAGGTAAACATGGGCCCAATGGCTTGTCAGAAGCCTGTGGAAGGAGCCCAGAGTCCTCTGCCTTAAAACAATGTTGGTGTTGGAGTGAGAGGGACTGTGAGTGGCAATGGGAAACACCTGTGCTGGGGTGAGCAGCCGGGCATGCTGGGGGAGCTGGGGGGTTACCACTGTTAAAAGAGGAAGTGAAGGCAAGAGGGAGATTTAAAGCCAGTAGGAAAGGCCACAACATCCTCCCCATTTGCTGCTGAGAAGTGGTCTAAGGAAATTAGTTACAGTAATGTCTTGGTTGTTGCTCCTTAAATTGCAACACAAGTGCACGTAGTAGAGCCCAAGTAAAGTAAAGCAGATACATTAGCTGAGACTATCAAAATAATAGCTTTGGATATGCTGGAGGAAATACGGTGGAAAACTGAATTCAGAAATATAACTTCAATATTCAGCTACATCTCTCAGTGGTATTTTTGTGCTGATATCTATCCTCAAACATTTTCTGATGCGATTTGAATTTAAATTTAAACAAAACTTCCCATATTAAAATATTTGAGTAAAGATTTGGCTCTGCTGTGACAATGGCAGGGGGGGTTTTGCATTTAGTCTCTTTTTTATGTAGCAGCAGGCTCCAGAGGCCACAGTGCTTTTGGCATTCATGAGCTTATGGCAGTATTTCAGACAGTCTCCACACTGTGGAAAAGTGGCCTTTTCATCTTAAGTTCATATTACTGTATTCTGACTTTTTGTTGGCTTATATTGCTTTAAGATATTTTAATTAGAAACATTTTAACCTTTTAGCAATCCCAGTTGCTTATTAAACTTGCTTTGTATGTGAAACTGAGGATCACATTTTTTAATATCTATCACTAAAAAGTTATCATTCATGTCAAAATATGTTGAAAATGCCTTTGCCATTAAGGGTCTAGATATGCATGTATCAGTACAAAATCATGCATTAAGTCATTTCTTTATGCAAACTGTGTTAAGGCAGATCATGCAGACACATCAGCTTTATTGGTTTTTAAATAAACCGAGGCTATGAAGAAGTAAGCATTCAGCATAAACATGTAAATCCTAAAGTGTAACAAAGAGCACATGCCACAGCAACACTTTTCCAGCTCAACATCTTACCCTGTTGTATATCCATCAGCCTCTCCTCAGCGGCCCAACGCTCCACCCCACAAGTCAGGTTGATCATTCCATCTCCTGCTTCTGTATCCTGAGGTGCCTGCTGTCAATTTATCAGACTCTTCCTTTTAATTTCATACTTTCCTCAGTGTACGCATCCATCCAACGTGAGAGGGTTCAGAGCATAGTGGTGTGAAACAGGCTGATGCGCAGCCCACAGCTGGCAGGGAGAAGCTGATTGCGATGAAGTAATGATCCTTTGAACAAACACAGTGTAATGCACACACTGTAGTTCTTGCTGTATATTTTCTACATGCATGTCTATATTGGGTGGTTTCTGGTGTGTGTGATAGTTAAATGTGGATTATATTTTCTGTATAGTTTTCAATCAGATTCCAAAATACAGTTTAATTTTCATAATGGATAATAAGCAGCAGTAAAATTTGCAAGTTGTGCTTCCTGCACACTAATAATATGCCCTGATATAATCTAATATACTCTAGTTTAGACAGATACCGTGTTATAAACCAGTTCTGGGACCAGTGTAGGTGAGCATAATACACTGCACAACAATTTAATGGATATAACAATATCTGTGTTCTGAACTGACATTTATCAGTGATTGAATCTGGTATTCACTCAGTATTATAGTCTGTAAAATACATGCTGATAAATGAGAAATCAGATGTATTTTAGGAATCAACCATGCTATCAGTGGATTATATTTATGTCAGACTTCACTGGCTTCATTGCTCTTCCACTGATGCGACTGAAATTTGAAAATAAAATAAATGATTACTATACTGATTTGACATGTAGAGTGTCATTAAGTTTAATCTTAATTTAGGACTCCCAAAGCTTCTTACCATAGTCCTCTCCTCATCTCCTCTTTCCTGATCTTTTTCTCTCTCTACATCTAACAAAATTAATTACTGTGTGCTTTATGTTATGAAGGTGTCAGGATGAAATGATGAATGGCTTGTAATATCAAAAGATTAAAGACAATGCAATGAAGGACACGTCTGCTTACACTGTGGTAGCGCTTACATGCAGACACATGTACACACATACAGCGTGCACACAGTCTCTGGGGCCATTGATATCTGGTTTCATATTTGATATTAACTTACTGGGGGAGCGATTATGGCCACAATGTTATTACCAGTGGTAGAGGGGCATAATAGAAGTGAACTTTTCAAAAAGGTCCTTATAATTGCAGCCTGAGCCCTTTTTGATAAAATTTCATATTGATATGTACACTGGTCCCCTCATTACAGCTACAGATGGAAAGAGCATTTCAGCGTTCTTTAATGAGTGCTGTACCAGTGAAGGTCATCTTAATGGGGTTCAACTTGTTTTGAGCCAGAGGTAATATTCTAATGAGAAAGAGCCACTACACCACTATAGTAATGTTGTAATTGCACCTATGAACACCATTTTATTGTTGCCTGTGCAATACTATTGAAGCCCTTTGTTGTCATTTGCAACATCACTTGTCCTCTTTGGTCGAGTTTGGTGGTCCAGCCGAAACTCGGTACGTGCATACACACACATGCAGATGCACGCTCTCTCATTACCATATTTCAGATCTACTTCACACACCTTCCGATGTTTATTGGAAGCTACAGTTAATTCATTGTTACTTACGGGTGGAGGGACATTGGAACCACCTAGCAAAAAGAATGAATATTAATCTCCATACACAGCAACGTGGTGGAGCAAGGACAGATGGAATGTTTGTGTGCATTTGTGTATGTGTTGATACTGAGTTTGTCTGAGTGCATGTGTGTGTCCAAAAACAAACCTTTATGCCTGAGGCAGTTTCTCCTCTG